GGTCATGAGCCCAACTCCTCACTCCTCAAGGATTTTAATTCAGGAACAAGTTATGTTTATGTTCAACTGGTGCTTTTAGCTCATTTCTGCTCTATCCCTACAAATCAGGGAGAGGAGGCATGTGTGCATGTATAAGTTCACAAAAAGACCAGTTAGTTACCTTCCCATGCAAAAATCTTAGACCACTACAGCAAAAGACTGCTTCATTGGAGCAGTTCAATAGAAAGTCATTTGAAAATCAATACTATAGCTACTTTGGAAAACTTTGGCAGTACCTACTAAAGCTGAACATTTATGTGCCCTGTAACCTACCATTTCATTCCTAGGTATTATAATTGATAGTATATACACATGTGCTTTAAAGAGTTGAATAGGAATATTCACAGCAGCACCATTCTTTTTTTTTTTTCTTAAATTCTTTTATTGGTACATTTTAGGTATACAACACATTTACATTTCTCATTGGGAACTTGTACCTTTACATGATGCATCTTGGTTCTTATTTTTTCCCCATTCCTAGCCCTCCCTTCACCCCCTCCACCCTTCCCTATTTACAAAGACTTTATTTCCATATTTTCCATTTCTCATCATTTTTCCTTTCTCTTCTTTCCTTTCCCCTGCCCCTCCCACTTCCCCTACCCCTTTGGACCTTTTCTTCCTATTTTGCATTATCGATTATTCATTCTAATCATTGGTACATTTTAGGTATACAATATAATGACATTCATCGTTGGAAATTTGCAACTTTACATAATCTCTCTTGGTTCTTATTTTTCACCCTTGCCCAGCCCTCCCTTCAACCCCTCCATCCCTCCCTATTTACAAAGATTTTGTTCCTATTTTTCCATTTTCTCATATTAATTCCATTCCCTTCTATCCTTTCCCCTAGCCCTCCCACTTCCTCCCCCTTTGCCCCTTTTTTTCTTATTTCACATTACCTATTATACGAGCAGCACCATTCTTAACAGCCAAAACAACTGGGAACCTCCTAAATGCTCGTCATGAATTGTGGTATATTCATTCATTGGAATACTTCACAGCAAGGAGGACAAATAAACTTTTGCCACACGAAATAACAGATGAGTCTCACAGACATGTTGAGTAAGAGAGAAAGCTGAATCTGTCGTTACCAGTGGAAGGGGGTAGCTAGGAAAGGAACAAGGAGCCCTGGCAGTGCTGTGTTTCTTGCTCTGGGTGCTGAGCTCAGAGATGTGTTTGCTTTGTGAACTGAGCTGTACACTTAGAATTCATGCACCTTTTAAATTTTATTTTAGTTTTAATTTAGTAAAAGGAACCGAAAAATGCAAGTCAGGTTTAACACTGCCCTGTATTTCATGTAGCAGAAAATATAGCCTGTTCTAATCTTGAAATAACTTGCTTGAACAAGCAAGCATCTTCTTAAAAAGTGATTCTAATGGCAACTTCTCAGGCCATTGTGGTTAGCATAAATTCCTTTTTCTCAAGCCATGTTGGAAGGATCAGAGTCCTGATTCTAAAAGTATCTCCAATACAGGTAATATGTAGCACAGCAGATCTCATCTCGCTGCCTCTAGAACTACCCAGGAGCCCTTAAAAATGTCGCTATCCAGCACTCTACTCTGCATTCTCATTTAGTTGTTTCGAGGGTGAAGTCTGAGCATCACTATTTCTTAAAGCTCCCGGGGTGATTCTGAAATAGAGCCAGGTGAGGGGGTCACTGATATAGAGCCTCATCGGAAATCTCAGGAGAGAGATCAAATAGTATCGATAAATGAAAACAGGACTGCCTTTCATAAGATACTTCACTTAGAGAATGAAATTTGCATTGTTTCTCATATAATCTGATCACAGGACTCAGAAAGCACATATCAAAAACAGTGGAATTAAAACCTTTTCCCTTTGCCTTCATTTCTTTTGCAGCAATCTTTGCCAAGTGCCTGCCCTGTGCCAGGTATCAAATCAGAATTCCTTCCCTACCCCTCTGTGTATATGGGTGTGTGAGTACGCCCATGGCCCACACTTATTACTCTGGTAACACTCCAAGTAACTAACTTGAATGCAGAGCGTGATATGTACAGTAGCTATTTCAGCTCTGCATTGTCCTTACTAAATCACAGTCGGCCACTTTGGTACATGATGTTCTAACTAAAAAGGAAGACTGAAAGAAGCCTAGGCACTGTGTTGAGTGCAATTTTCAAGGAAAGAACAAGAAATCGAACATTTTAAACCAATAAGTGAAAGCTGGAGAGAGAAAGAAATGTTAAAATATCATCTTATTTTCTTGAAGTATTTTCCATCCAATCTTGTACAGTCAAAATGAGCATTTAAGTGTGAGAAAAAAACCCACTGAAGATCTCAGAGAAGACTAGAGAGTGTCAGGTTTCTTGATTAGAAGAATTTATCATCAGAGGCAAAAGAGAAAAGAGGGTAAAGATTTTTAAAAACTCCAAGTAATCACAAATTAATGGTGCAAAATCGAGAAAACAAAAGTAGGTGTTACTCTTGTTCATTTAAACTATAGTTTTCTGTTTCGTGTGTGTTCTTTAAAATCACTTAATTGTATTTGACACTGAAGATCTAATAGGGCCTTTTGTTTTCAACCAGTTTACTAATTGCAAAATATGTCAGGAATCAAAAGGGCAGGAGGTGTTGGTATACTTTTTAAAAATATATAACTCCTTTTTAATTTTTTCCCTATTTCCCTTATCCTTTTAGGCAGTGACTTTCAATTAGCCTGCCTACTAACATCAGGTCACTAAACTCCATGGCTGACGCTTTATTCCTTCATGTGAGTTGTCATTCGTTTGCTTCAGTTGGCTGGCAAAGGTTGTTGTATATCCATTACCAGCAACACAGCACTTTGCATTTCTGAATTGACAAGCAGCTATATTGACCCAGCGCTTATTATGGGTCAACAGCTGCGTTAACCAACGGAAGGACTGAGGGGCAATTAAAATGAATTGGCAAAAATATATCTTCCTAATTTACTCCAATTTGTTATTTATGCTAACATTGTATGGCTTCTATGGTGACACTAAACAGAATGGACCCAATAATGGCAATTAACATAAAAATATAATGGCTAATCAAATTGACAGCAACTGTTTCTCATCATCTCGACACACAATACATTATCAAAACAAACTATTATGAAGGAGGTAATTTCAATGTTCTATTCAACCTGCAGCATGTGTGCAGTCAGGGAGATGTGTACCAGCAATTACTGCTGAATCTAAAAAACTAAACAAATAACTTAATCGCTGTCGTCCTCCTTTTTTTTCCCCCAGGAAGCAGTAATCAGGATTCGCTAAAAATAACTGGTGTATAATAGTATAATGATGATGCATATTGTAGAATAGCTAATAAGGAATAAAATAGACTTCTAGGTGTATACTTTTTAAAATAAGTTCAGGTAAAGAAAGAGAGACTCGTGGAAGGGAATGTACACTGAAAAAGACAATAGCTCTGGCTGATGAATAGCTCCATGTGGGTTTATTCCTACAGCCTAGTATTTATAGATATCATTTGTAAATTGCCAAAGAAGTTTAAAATATGCTGTTTAATAACACATTTTTAATGAAGTAAGCAGGAAGGTGAGTCGTGGGCTCCAATAATTAAATTTCAGTGATTTCTGCACCCGGTTGTATTGGCTATAGTTTTCTTCATTGAGAGCCAGCTCAGATCTTTGGAGCTAATATGTACTTAGTTATCCAAAGAGAGTCCTTTAGCAATAGTGTCGTTTCCATACCAGTTCTAGGTAGTGGTTGTTCTAGTCATATACCAGTCTGTGTGTGCCTCCTGGCTCTGCTATGTGGATTGTACAAATGACTTCGCTGGTTGTGGTCATTTACTGATTCATTCATCTAGCGTCTACAGAGTGTTTACTACGTGAGTTAGCTGTGTATCCATTGTCACGCTGGATGTGGTCCACAGTAGGTATTCAGTCATTGTTGGGTAAATCATAATGCAGCAAGGGAAGGCTGGTAATGTGTTTCGTTATTTGAGCTTCTCATTTGAGAAGCTCTGAAGATTTAGTTGTTTTCACTTTGCTAGGACCCTTAAAGAAAACACCAAAACTCTAGCTCCTTGTTCTACAACTAAAGGGTATCCAAAGTATCTAGCCCTATAGGAAGATGGAAAGAAAGTTCCTAGAGCAATTGGTTTAAAATAAAGAAAAGTGCATTGAAATGAAATGTGATTCACCAAATAATGCTTATTTTGATTATTGAATTGACTGCATGTGTGGTTTTTTTCCACATAGAGTGAGGCATAGTTGCTTAAGAAAATACACAGAGCCTCCAAACAACCCCAGGAATGTCAGCATTCGGTATATGTTTGTTGAATGAATAATAGTTCAGCTAGATCTCCTGTGCTTTGTTGAATTAGAACTTGCTAAAGTCTTGAAACATGCTTTGATGAGGATGGGATGGAAAACTTGGGTTATCCTTTCACGTGCTATACCTCTCAGGGGTTATACATTGCCCTCTTAGGATTAGCACAGAGAAAGTGGTCAAGATGTTACTTGAGTCTGCTTAATTTCCAGTACTGTGCCTATGAGCCAGTCCCTGGCAAAGGCAGTGGATTGTTGCCACATGTCAGAAAATTGGGCTCATAGTACAGCAATAAGTGTTAAACAGTTTTCAGAGATTGTTTAACTCTCTACTAGCATGGACAGGTCCCAGTTAGGAAGCATAGTACCACTTTTCCCAATTAACATTACAAATTGTCACGGGTGCATAGGAATTTGCAAGTTGACAAAATCAGTTTTTTGACAGCAGGGTTAATCAGTCTGCAACTTTGCAAGCAGTAATCTGTGATCGAAGTGGCAGGATTTATTCTGAAAGGTATATATGCTACATAAGAGGGATAAACTATTAATATGATTCTCTCCTCACCCCCTTTAAAAAAAGCACTGCTTGATATGGGAATTGAAATTAGGAATACACTCTGCTGAAAGTGATCTCCATTGCCCCACCCCCACCCCCAATAGTAGTGTTCATTTATTTTCCGTTCTATTGCAGTATTCTGACAAGTCCCTGTACACCCAGCTGTGCTTTTACCGGTACATTTTTGATGTGGACTGTGCACTGGAGAAACTTATTACCGATCATGAGAAAGGTACGTTAAAATACTGTAATTACCTTTGAGTTTAAAGTGAAAATTTGCATCATAAAAGCCAGACCTACTGTGTCAGGCTGTTCACGCAGCATCACATTGGTGTCTCAGAAGCAGGCTGTGGGGGCCTACATGAACACAGGGATCCCCTGCATGAGGGGCGGCAGCATAGGAATCCCCAGCTTTGGCCCCCACAGCCTGTCTCACATTGTTCTCTATTAAAGCAGGGCTTTAGGGAAGGAACAGTACAAAAAGGACTCTTTAAATGCTATATTTTGAAAATGCTATTTTCTATAGAGTTTAGTAATTGTAATAAAGTAAGCATAGGCAACGTGATCATTGAGCCTACAAAAACCAGATATTACCACAAAAAAATAGACCTGGAGTGTGTCTCTGCTGTTCACTAAAAGCCTAGGTTCATTTTAAAAGAGAGGAATGGGGTGGAGTTCTTTTATTGACTCCATCCTATGAGAACTGTATAGGCGCCTCAGCCCATATGATCAGATGTTGCCTGGAACCCTCTGCACCTGGTGTTTCCTTATGCAAGACATGCAGGCACTGTGGGATTTAATGGGTCTGAGAAAAGCTTTGTTACATAACTTAAAGTATTTGAGAATGTCATGACAAGTGCATGTATTTTCTTCTACCTGAAAATCACATTGACAACTTTTCTATTACCTGCAAAAAATAAAAAAGGCAAATTTACACATTTTTCTTATTAGTTACCTACAGAGTATTTATGTTGTTTGTCAGTGAATATCAATTCAGGTTTTGTTGGTCGGTATTAGGGCTTGAGGCAACCTCAACAGCGTATAAAAACCTACAAATATTGCTGGATTTCCTCATGTTAGAATCCCCATGCTGCCCTTGATTTGGTCTCACTGTTTTCAATTCCAGTCATAATTGACTTCATCTTTTCTATCTACAAGATAGGCTAGAAATTATTTCTTAAAATGCCTTGACTTACTTGGTTTTTCTGTCCTTGGATATAAAACATTTTACAACTGGTGGAGCACTTGGTTTGGATATTAGTACAGTATCTTATCTTTAGATGCTCAGCAAGGACTTGGGCTATGTCCACAGCATCTTTTCCATGAATTAATAAATTTATATAGTGAAGAAATTCCTTCTGTCCATTAGTAACTAGGTTTTAGAATTTCTGTTCATAGCTAAAACCTACCCAGTTTTTACTTATATCATTAATAGCTATTTTTCTTTTTCTCCCAAGGACCTTTCCTTAAAGGTGGTTATGAGTTGAGAAAATGCAATGCTGATTTTCTGATGAATACTTTATCTGTTTCTATCAAGTCTTTTACCTCTTTCAGGGTATTGCAACCTGCTCCCCAGTCACTTGTCTGAATTTAGCCATCCTAGGTTGTTCCCTAATGTTTTTAGACTCTGAGGCGATGAAATGCTCTTGCATACAGCTCTAAAATTCTTATCTGAGAAGCTGAATTATTTCTTTCATGATCAGCAGTTTTCAAAAAGTCCAGTGACTCTTGGTGACAGGAACAGGAGTGATCTGGAAACTCACAGAGGACTTAGCCTACCTTCTTGGAGGACACGGAAGGGTGCAGACTACCCGGGACAACAGGAAGAAATGAGGTAGCCACTGGGACACTTCTTGAACGGCAGAAGGAAGTATTGTCAGGATCTGTACATTCACATAGTTAGCTGTAGTCCCATTTTATAAGTTTAAGAATAGGGTTACTTTTTTTTGTTATTTACTTCTAATAAATACACTACCCGGCAGTTCAGAGCAAAAATGGCACTAAGTGGGGTCGGGAATTTAGCTCAGTGGTTCTTTCGCCTGCCTCACAAACGCAAGGACCCAAGTTCAATCTCCGGTACCCCCCCTCACCCCAAAAGGCACTAAGAGAATTATTGACAGGCCCTTTCACATGTCAGAAGACTAAAAAAATAAATCAGGAAGGGTACAAAAATGTATGTGTCTGACAGAAGGAAACAAAATGTTCCCAGAGCCTTTTGTTTTATTTATTGAATTTTAACTATTGAAACTTTTTCTTTGAGCTTTCTTCTGCTTATTTATTATTCTTAAATTACAGTTTAGGAAAGAGTGAGTTACCTGATATTTACATGCTCAGGGCATTTTTAGATCCTTCAGTAACTCTCAAGTGGTATTAGGGTATTTGTTAATGGTAAGATTTAAACCAAAACTCTGGGTCAGGCTTTACCAAAGTGGTCCGGGGACAGAGATTTCTTAACATGACACCTAATAAGCTGTCTTCTGAGAGTCACTTGTGGCATATCAAAATCCAAATCCATGTATTCTGTGCCCAGATAATCTAATTCAGAAGATGTGGGGTAAAGCTTAGGAAACTATATTTTTTAGAAAATTCACCCAGGTAATTCTGATGTGCAGCCAAGTTTGAGAATCCCTATCTTGTGTGCTTCGAACAGATCAGTTTGATGGTTTTCAAATAAAAGAATTGAATATAAGTTGTCCATAGGGGAAAATCAGGGAATGAGAATGTTCTTATAGTCCAGAGAACAATTATAGGGGGAAATTCCATAAATTTAAATTAATATAACATAAAATTCACTTCCCACTTAAAAAGTTAAAGTGAAATTCTCTCTTTTGATTTACTGTTCAAAGAAGGCTTGCTATAAAAATGAATTTTAAATCTATGGGAACCAGACAGCAAATATGTTTATTCGATTTAAACCAAGGCGAGAACACCAGTAGATGTTAACATCCAAAGTCCTGTGGAAAATGACAGTCGTTACACACAGTTATATCATTGAGAATGGAATCTAAGCATTGTCTGTCAACAAGTGCCCTGTAACTGATGTGTGAAGTATTTACTGTAGACTCTCCTTTACTGTCAGTACCTAGCAACATTTCCTTCGCTAAGATTGTTTTACCATTTCCATTATAAAGCCCATATTTTCAGGGTTGTAACTGGATGGTGGTTTTAATTTTTGCTTAAAAGTTGGCAATTGGACTTGGGAAAAAAACATACAAATTATTTGAAAGAGGTTGATTTATTTTTTATGGTGAAAAGTAGCTCTGTCAAAGCTTTTTCTGTGCTTTGCTTTCAAATGAATGTTTACAGGCCATTAGTCCATAATGTGAATTAACCCTATTTGGTAATTTTCCCTTTTCTTTAAAGTGGTAAAGGACTGTTACTCACTTTGGTGAAGTGTTTACTGCATATTCACTGTAACTACATAACATTTTAAAAATCTTATTTCTGTGGGACTTTGGCATTATTACTGTAACTGCTCCAGAATATACACAGATGGCATAATGGATCCAAAGGAGGTTTTAGAGGAGCATTGTGGCAGTATATGAAGTAAACATGTGTTTCCAGGATGACAGCATGAAATAGTCCTATTTGACTGCCTTGCTTGTCCCATGGCGCTTTGGCCTGAATAGGAATAAGTGAACAGTTTGGGGAACCCTGAATCAGTTCAAATCTTTTTCCAATTACCTAAATTAAGTCTGCCTTAAAATGCAGGGTTGGGAGGGTTGCTCTCAACAGAACCTTTGGTTGGTGTTCTTGATTTAAAAATAGTATATATACATATAGATTCTATTATATGTTGAGTGCCATCCCTCATGTCACAGAAAGCAAGATGTACAGTGATACTCCCTGCCCTGGAGCAGCTTACAGTGTGTTGGGGAAGACAGATTCATTAGCAGCTGAATGGCGTGGCCTGTGTGGCACCGCCAACCTGGTCAAATTGTTTCAGAAGCAAAGAGAGTTTACCACTAACTGCCTTTTCCCTTTAGAGTATGGTCTTTATTTCTGGAAAGAACTTTTCTCTGTTCCTATTGTCTTTTACCAGATGCTTATCTCTTATTCCGTCAGCTATTTATGATAGGACAGTGTGGTAGTTTGCTGGAGTTGCCTTGACAAAGTACATCTCACAGTCTGGGTGGCTTAGGCAGTTTATTTCCTAACAGTTCTGGAGGCCGGAAGTCTGAGACCAAGGGTTGGTGTCTTCTGAGGCCTCTCTCCTTTTACAGATGCTGTTTTTTCTCCTTTGTGTCCTCACATGATCTTCCCTCTGTGCTTAATTTCCTATTCTTATTAGGACATCAGTCATACTGGATTAGGGCTCACTCTAATGACTTTATTTAACTTAATTATCTCTGTAAAGGCCCTCTCTCCAAATACAGTCAGATTCTGAGCTATAAAGGGTTAGGATTGCAACCCTACTTCAATATAAATTTTGAGACATACCATGAAGGATTGTCTACTTGGTGAATTTTTCTATAAACCTCCTTGAACACATTGCATTTGTCTCTGCCAGAACTGGAATACTAGGATTTAGGATTGTTGAAGAAAGGAATTGGAGTTGCAGTACAGAAGCTGCGATTTAATGTAGCATCAGTTATGAAGCCTGACTTCTCAACAGGAGTGTTTTTAGGCCTAGATGGAACTAACTTCAAAGCACCTGTTTCTCACAAAGGGCAAGGTGCAGCCTCCTGTTCTCCAGCCTCCTGAACCATAATTGTAAAGATTTGCTGGGCTTCTTGCTCTTCTCAACCAAGATGAAAACTCATACTCACTCTGCCTCTTGGGCTTTGGTCTCACCTGCATTCTTTGCTTGTTGCTTTTGTTTTTGTTGTTGTTTTTTCTTAAATTCTGTAGCTTTTTATGATTGTCTCTTCTGTTTTTAATTCTATTAGGCCACCCAGAACTAAGCTTTGTAAAGTCCCTGTGTAAGTTATTTTATAATTTCCTATTGTCTGTTCACATGTGTAATGTAGGTCCTCACAACAGCCCTGTAAGGCAGCCATGGATTGTGCCCATTATATTGATGAAGAAATTGAGATATGTAAATTGTTTCCTACCTTTACATTCCCACGTCACTTTTTTGCATTCCCTTCTCATAGTGTTTATCCTGAATTGTTTTATTTTACCCTCTCTTTCACTAAGTTCAATGAGATAATGAGTTATATTTGTTTATTTGTGCTTTTGCGCACTAAATAATGGGGTGAAACAGTTCCATCTGTGACTGGAGCAATTTGA